TGCAGAACAACGCTCTATCCATTGAGCCAATCTGGTTTGTATTAGAGGCCCAGTGCACGAAATTCATGCACTGGGGGTGAGGGGTGGCCCCTGAGCCCAGCCTACGCCCTCTTGTATTCTGGTACCCCTCGCTGTTTACTGCCTGCTGCTCCTTACTACTCAGCCCACTGTTCCTAGTGCTGCCACTGCTGTGAAGGTGGGAGAGGTTCCTGCCCCTGCCACTGCTCGCTAGCTGTGAGCACAGGTTCTGGCTGAGCAGCGCACCCCCTGTGGGAGCGCACTAACTACCAGGGGGCAGCTCCTGCATTGAGCGTCTGCCCCTTGGTGGTCAGTGCATGTCATAGTGACCACTGGTTGGTCCGCTGTTCTGTCAGTTTGCATATTAGGCTTTTATTATATAGGATTAATTTAAGGTGTATGGCATAGTGGTTATATAATAGTGGTTATACAAATATTCTCAATGCTTCATTACTTTATAAAATGTTCTCAATGTTTTCAGTACCCACTTGGTATCATACATAGTTATTATAATATTGACTATATGCTATATTCCCCTTGCTGTACTTTACATGCCCATACTACCAATTTGTGTGTTTGTTTATTTTTTAACATATTTTTACTCATTTCAGAGGGAAATGAGAGAGAACATCAGCGATGAGAATCATTAATCAGCTGCCTCTTGAACAGCCCCCCTACTGGGGATTGAGCCCACAACCCAGGCATGTGCCCTGACTGGGAATAGAATAGTGACCTCCTGGTTCATAGGTTGATGATCAACCACTGAACCACAATGACCAGGCTGTAATTGTGTCTTAATCACACCAGACTTTTTGGATTGTGGCCTACCCTAAGACCTCATTTTATCTAAATTACCTATTTATTTTTTAATCCTAACTTGAGGTATGTTTTGAGAAAGAAACATCAGTTAGTTGCCTTTCATATGCTCCCAGATCCCACAACCTTTTTGGTATCTGAGATGATACTCCAACCACCTGACCCACCCAGCCAGGGCTTAATTACCTTTTAAAGATCCATCTCTCCAGCCGAAACCGGTTTGGCTCAGTGGTAGAGCGTCGGTCTGCGGACTGAAGGGTCCCAGGTTCGATTCCAGTCAAGTGCATGTACCTTGGTTGCAGGCACATCCCCAGTAGGGGGTGTGCAAGAGGCAGCTGGTCGATGTTTCTCTCTCATCGACGTTTCTAGCTCTCTATCTCTCTCCCTTCCTCTCTGTGAAAAATCAATAAAATATATTTAAAAAAAAAAAAAAAGATCCATCTCTCCAAAAACAGTCACATTCTGAGGGACTGATGGTTTAGGACTTTAACATATGAATTTGGTGGGGGGACACAATTGAGCCCATAACAGTGATAGAACTCTAGGTTACTTACTATGAATTTGAGGAAAGGAAAAATATTCTTCCCTGATGTCCTTAATGTGAATACAAACTGAAGAACTTACATACTTGGTTTTTGATGTGGCCATTGTAATAACCAGATCACTATTAGTGTGCTCCTCTTCCATTACTGTAGATTCTTAATACACAGTTAGCGTTTACAGGATAAGTAATGCCTTTTACACTAGCAAAACTAACGTATCGCCTGTTCATATCCAGATCTCCACAGTTTCAGTCATCCTTTTTTATGTTTAGTTTATTTGAATCAAGATGCAGACTATGCCAAAACAGGTTTGGCTCAGTGGATAGAGCATCGGCCTGCGGACTGAAGGGTCCCGGGTTCGATTCCGGTCAAGGGCATGTACCTTGGTTGCAGGCACATCCCCAGTAGGGGGCGTGCAAGAGGCAGCTGATTGATGACTCTCATCGATGTTTCTAACTCTCTACTCTGTGTCTCCCTCTCTGTAAGAAAATCAATAAAATATATTTTTTTAAAAAGATGCAGACTATGCCACAAATTCCATTTGTTTGATAACGCTTAGGTCTCTTAATCTAGAGCATTTCCCTCTGTGCCATTGATCTAGGAATATTCTAGATTTGTTGCTTCCTTTTCATTTGTTATATTTTATCATTTTCTATAGATGGAAATTAAGTTTACTGTGAAATGTATCATGTTGCATAAAATTAGGAAGTATATGTTTGTCTCACTTTGAGTCATACTAAGATCTTAAGTTCTTTATCAGTTGTTCATATAGTCATTGTTAATTGTTTCATCTAGTGATGATCACTGCCAAATCCGTTTAAGGGCTTCAAAATAGTGATTTTCCTCCCCATGTTTTATTCCATACCAAAGTGGAATTCCATAAAGAAGTTTTCTTCATGAGCTGGTCCTATTCAGTTATCATGAATAATAAAGGTTCATAAAGGAAAGGGAGGAAAAAATGCCTATTTCCCTTTAATTGCCAATTTATTAAAAAAAAAAGAAGCTGTAGCATCTTAATAAGAACCTCATTTTTATATTCAATGTATTTGAACCAATTTGCAGTCATTCTTTTTTGTTAATGCTCACCTTCAGATATTTTTCCCATTGTTTTCAGAGAGAGTGGGAGGGGAAGAGGAGAGAGAAAGAGAAGCTTTGGTGTGAGATGCTTAATTTCCTCCAGCAGATGCTCCAGTGGGGGGAAGGAAGGTGACAGAAGCAAACCCAAGTCCCTAAGGTGTGAAGGATGATCTCTAACCACTACGCAACATGAGCCAGGGCTGCAGTCATTCTGATACTCATATTGTCATTGGCCACCATGATAGACCTTATTTGTTGCCTCCTAGTCTGGCTGACCTCATTGTTCTCACTAGCTTTATTTCATTCAAATACAGATGTCTCAGGGTCATCTGTATTTCCCACTTGAGGTTATTTCTCTGTAGGAATCTTGGTTTCTTTTAGTTGGAAATAGTATTTTGGCACTAGGCTGTTCATTACTCCAGATTGTTATCATTAGAGCTTTTTAAAAATAGAGCTTATCTGGTTATTTCCATTTGAAAGTCTATAAGCCTAGTCACTTAAAGTTTAATTATTAAGTTTGCAAATATTTTCCGTTATTGACAACATGTTACCACATATTGAAAATACTGTTTGGGCAAGAAAAAATTAGAAATAATGTGTGGTCTATTCATAAAACTAAATTGCTTGTTAGCTATATTAACATACAAACATTAGAAGTTGTGATTCGCTGCAGCAGCACATACTCTAAAAAAAGAAGTTGGGAATCGGAATCCTTAGTCCCCAGAAGTTTGGTTAGATACTTTTTTAAAGGCATTTAAAAAGTTCTTTTATTTTGCTTAATTTGCCAATAGATGCCTTAAAAAATAGATATACCCTTGCTGATCTGTTATTTAGACTTTGGAAACTGCCATCTGTAATTTTTTTTTTAATTGATTTTTTACAGAGAGGAAGGGGGAGAGAGAGAGAGCTAGAAATGTTGATGAGAGAGAAACATCGACCAACCGCCTTTTGCACACCCCCCACTGGGGATATGCCCGCAACCAACTACATGCCCTGACTGGAATCAAACCCGGGACCTTTCAGTTCACAGACCAACGCTCTACCACTGAGCCAAACCGGTTTCGGCGCCATCTGTAATTTTTAACCTTCATCATTCAGATCTGATAACAGCGTTCCAGAGCGGAGTGACTAATCAAGTTTAACAGTAGGGCATGTAGGAGGCAGCCTATGTGTCTCTTGCGTTGATGGTTCTCTTTCTCTCCACCCTTCCTCTCTATCTAAAAGTCAATAAAAACACTTAAATAAAAGTTTTAACAGTTGTGAAAAACTTTGATGAGTAGTTGGTTGGAACTTTTATGTATAGAAGGGACTTTAAACTGCTACTACCTGTTGCAAGAAACAGGAACACATAAAAAGGAAAAAGCAAATATTCCAGGTTGCTTCTAGTATAGTATGAGATACATGTATAGATAGTATAAAGGTGAGACTGTAAATAAATTATTTTTTGTTGTTGTTTATCCTTACCCAAAGACATTTTTCCCATTGGTTTTTAGGAAGAGTGAGAGAAAGGGAAAAACACAGAGAAACATCAGTGTTAGAGAAACACACATATTGGTTGCCTCCTGCATAAGTCCTGACCAGGGCCCAGGCCGGGGAGGAGCCTACACCTGACGCACATGCCCTTGACCGGAATCAAACCCCGGGACCCTCTGGTGCTTTACCAGTGAGCCAAACCAGCTAGGGCAAGAAGTTTAATTCTTTAGTGTAATTATTCAGAATCATAGGAAGACTTGTTTGTCCAGAAACAAAATGGTTGCTTTATATGGTCAGAGAAAAAGCTGTAGGTGAGAACTTTTGAGAACAAATACTGTCATTTCTCTTACTCCCCTCTTCCCCTTTTCATTGATTTGAGAGAGGAAAGGAGAAAGACATCACTGAAAGAGAGAAACATTGGTTGCTTCCCAACGGGATCAAACCCTGATGGGAGTAGAACCTGCCACCTTCTGGTATACTGGGAATGTTCCAACAAACTGAGCCACGCCATTTTTCATACTTTTAAATTCCTCCCACAGTTCCTAGGATTCACTGTAAGTTATAATGTTGAATATTACATATATCACAGTTGATGGTGGATTAGTTCTTTCTGGTGTTTTATTTCTGTTAATTGAATTTTAGGAGCAGGGCTCTAAAGCAGTGGCTTATATATGTTGACAGGGCTACCTAAATGTATCATTGTGCTTACTTGGAATGTAGCTGTTAGAGTAAAAATGTAGTTTCTATTAGAAATTGTAATAAACTACCTCAAAATAATGAATGCTCTAAGGCAGTGTTTCCCAAACTTTTGACATATGTGTACCCCTTCTATAATTTACGTAACGCTGAGTACCCCTCGTACTCACGAGAACGTAGGATTAGGCGCAGCTAAGCACGGTGCAGTGCGTATCCCCACCAAACTCCTCCCGTACCCCTGGGGGACGCGTACCACACTTTGGGAACACTGCTCTAATGGAATAGAAATATATGTAACTTATATGCTAAACTTGGGAGGTTATGTAAATATTTAGCTAATGAAGTCCAGCTTAACTTTGTTTAATTTTATCTCTGTAGGCAGCCTGCTTCTGCAAAGTGGTACGATCGAAGGGACTATGTCTTCATTGAATTTTGTGTTGAAGACAGTAAAGATGTTAATGTAAATTTTGAAAAATCCAAACTTACATTCAGGTAAATTTACATTTTACATAATTGGGCAAAATTTATTTCAGATAATTGAATAACTTTGGCTTGCTGTTTTGTGTTTTCACTGAGGTTATATTAATCCTTTACCTCTTTGAAGAGGCTCATTTAAAAAAAATTTTTTCTCCCCACAGTTGTCTTGGAGGAAGTGATAATTTTAAACATTTAAATGAAATTGATCTTTTTCACTGTATTGATCCAAATGTAAGTAGTCTTGATGCTTTAATACTGATTTAATTCATGAGGAAGTGGACATATCTTTTTAGCAAGCACTAATTCTATTTTTCTTAATAGTTCAGAGGGCTAACTAGATATATTTATATTTTGCGATGTTTTCCCTTTCTAACCACTTTTCTGCATATTCTTTTTTTCTTATTTTCACTATTAAGACTTGGCTATACACTTGAAGTTTGTCTTATCTAACTAGCATTTTTTAAAGATATATTATTGATTTCAGAGAGGAAGGAAGAGGGGGAGAGAGGGAGAAACATCAATGATTAGAGAAAATCAGTGATTGACTGCTTCCTGCACACCCCATACCAGGGATTGATCCCGGCAATCTGTGCACGTGGCCTGGAATTGAATTGTTACTTCCCTGTTCATAGGCCGATGCTCAGCCATGCTGGCCAGGCTAACTATGGAAATTTTAAAAAACTCTTCTATGATTATGCAGGAAGAAAAAAACGTCCTTTTTTCATGCAATTTGATAGCTTATGAGTTAGGGGATGTTTTAGTAGTTGGGAGATGTTTCAGAGTGTAGGGGAAATGTAGGGAAAGAAATTAGAAAGGAGGGGTGAGGAATGAATGATACTGAAGAGATAAATGGTATGATAGTGCTTTTGTGGTTTTTTGTGTTTTTTCTTTTTAGGATTCCAAGCATAAAAGAACGGACAGATCAATTTTATGTTGTTTACGAAAAGGAGAATCTGGCCAGTCATGGCCAAGATTAACAAAAGAAAGGGCAAAGGTAGGTTTTTTTTTTTCTTTTTTGAAAATTTCACATTTTTACTTTAAGTAATTAAAGATACATTTGTTTGGTATGAGAAACATAGTGTTGGTTTCAAAGCTAAGTACTTACAGCCTTTTCTCTACTTTGGGATATATTAGTTTTAACTTAAAGCTAAGTGAGGTCAGAACAAGATCAGTCTCTAGTTGGTGGAGTCTTTGCATTCAAGAGGCAGACTCGCATATTTTGGTGCAACTAAACAAAAAATAAACCAGGTATAGTATAGTTTCTACCAATGAATTTTTAAATATATATATATTTTATTGATTTTTCACAGAGAGGAAGAGAGAGGGATAGAGAGCTAGAAACATTGATGAGAGAAAATCATTGATCAGCTGCCTCTTGCACACCCCCTACTGGGGATGTGCCCAAAACCAAGGTACATGCCCTTGACCGGAATCGAACCCGGGACCTTTCAGTCTGCTGACCGACGCTCTATCCACTGAGCCAAACTGGTCCTGGCTACCAATGAATTTTTGTTTTTGCTTTAAAAAGTAAGTTTGTTTAACAACTGAGAGGAGTTTCATAAAACTGTATTTGTGCTAATTCCATGGCTCACTATTGAGTATGAATCCACAGTTCAAAAAAAATGTAGTCTTAAGGTACATGCCAATGGGTGTATGTTAACTTAATCATATGATGATGTTTGTATTGGTCTACAGCTTAATTGGCTTAGTGTGGACTTCAATAATTGGAAAGACTGGGAAGATGATTCAGATGAAGATATGTCTAATTTTGATCGTTTCTCTGAGGTAAGTTCTTTTAAATGCATTCTTCTGCCCTCCCTCCCAGTATATTTCTAGGGAGACAGTTTAATTTGGTTTTAAAGTACCTAGTGGTATTTAAGGCATGTATTACTTTACCTTGAAGGCCAGTCTGCAATAATACTAAATGAGATTTTAACAATAGTCATTTAATCCTAAAATTTAACATTCTTTTACAGTTTAAAAAAATTTAGTGTTTAAGTTTTAAAGTTGATGTGTAAAGACTAAAAATAAATCATATAGTCAATCAATGCAGTACACTAGTTTTTACTTCAACACTGGGATAGATTTTTTTAAAAGCATGAATATAGTAACTGACTTATATTTTGGAGCCATGTAATACAACATTCCTCCTTACATGGCTCTAACACCTTAATTTCAGGAGTGAAGGAAGGATACTCGTGTCTTTCCTCTACTATTTCTTACCTGTAGTAATTGGTGCCACAATTTATCCAGCTGTGCAAGTCACAGCTTCTTAACACTGTTCTCTTTCACTGCCTCTCTCTATCAGTATGTTAACTGCATCTTTGTTCTTTTGTTTTTACCTCCTAAAATAGCTCTTGAATATATTCAATTTTGTTTCTATTGTCATTGTATCCGCAGCACCACACATTGTATTTGGCACATATTTGAGCATTTTTTTCTGCTCTCAAAAACTTTTAACTAAGGTGTTGAACATTGCTTTTAGACATAGGGAAACTTTGCTAATTATTCATATTATTCAAGACTAGATTGCCCAGGATTTTTATACCAAGAGATTTGACTTAAGTATTTAACTCTAAAGTCCAGATAAGCACATATACTTGAAGTCTTTGATTTTTGTTTACAAAGTTATAATGGTGGTGTAAATACTTAAAATTTTTTGTTTAAATATTGTAGAAAAATTGTAACTTGGGGGGATGAGTCCCTCCCCATCAGATAGTAGTTCTGTCTTTGGCTATTTGTACCTCTTTCAGTAACACATTACTTGCTCTATGATTGGAAACAGATAAAGATGGGGAATTAGTACTTCATGTAAGCATGTTTTGTTGTTAGCCCCATTTATTATAAGAAGATATATATATATGGAAAAAAAAATATATATATATGAAAATATATATATATATATGGTTATTTTCTTATAATTGATATAAAGTCTTTTAAGAATTATGCTTGTTTTTAACTAAGTTACTATTTGACCTTTGATTCAATTTTCAGGACTTTTATACAAACTAAGCATCCTGAAATACTTTATTTTAAATCATTTATTGATTCTTCACAGTATTTAAAACTGTAACGAGAATACCGTAATACATATGTCAGTCAGCTTAGTATACAAAACTTTAAAACTACAATGAATCCCATTCTTACCCATCAGTGGTAACTACTGTTTGGGAATTGGTTGGTTAATTTCTGTGTGTGTGTGTGTGTGTGTGTGTGTGTGTGTGTGTGTATATATATTATATATTATATATTATATATATATTATTTATATATATATTATTTTTATATATATTATATATATAATATATATATATTATAATCTTGCTGGATGAATTTTAATAACTTCAACTTTCTGTGATGAGAGTTTAGATTTAACTTTCCTATAACTTTTCAGGATTTTATATACAATTATCTATAATCTTTCCAGAAAAGAAGGTACTTAAATTCTTGTTGGTGGTGGAAATCTATGGCAGACTCGAGCATGCCACCTAATAATTAGGGCTTAATTTAACATCATTTTTAAAACTAATTTTTACTTCAAATAGATGATGAACAACATGGGTGGTGATGAGGATGTAGATTTACCAGAAGTAGATGGAGCAGATGATGTAAGTCTATAAATTCTTATCTTTGTTTATTAAAATAATAAGAAACAATTATTTATAGATTGCTTGATATATAGTCAAGATTTTTTTTTGCTACTTAAAAATTTTTTTTAAATATTTTTATTTATTTTGAGAGAGAAACATCAATGATGTTAGAGAACTGTTAATTGGCTGCCTTCTGCACACCCCCCACTGGGGATTGAGTCTACAACCCTGGGCATGTGCCCCTGACCTGACCAGAATTGAACCTGGGACCCTTCAGTCCTCAGGCCAACACTCTATCCACTGAGCAAACCCAGCTAAGGCTTTGTTTGTTTCTAATATAGGGTAAAGCAGTTTTTTAAAGGTGCTCATTTTTGAGGGATGGTTACCTACTAGGGAACTGATGTCTAATGGGCCATTCTTAGAGACCACATTTCAAAAGAATCAATGCATTTCAAAAGAATCAATATATATATAATATATATTATTATAATATATATTATATAATATAATATATATATATTATAAAATATATATGCCTTATTCAATTAAAAGTTAGTCTGGAGGTTATTATTATAATTTTTTAAGATATTTTATTGATTTTTTTTACAGAGAGGCAGGGAGAGGGATAGAGAGTTAGAAACATCGATGAGAGAGAATCACCTATCAGCTGCCTCTTGCACACCCCCTACTGAGGATGTGTCCACAACCAAGGTACATGCCCTTGACCGGAATCGAACCCGGGACCCTTGAGTACATAGGCCGATGCTCTATACATTGAGCCAAACCAGTCTGCTGGGGACTATTTTTACAAAGTTAAACAAGTTTCATAAAAGTGAATTGGTCAGAGATTAAGTAAGCATACGGACATTGTGAACCTATAAAAGGATATACTGGGTTACTCTCCTCAACATTCCTCTCCTGGCATTCTGTTAACATCGTAAAGGAAATTTGTTCAATGCATTTAGGAAAATACTTAGACAATTCACTAGTTATGATTAGACTTCATTGTCTTCTATCAGTCCAGTGGTCTGTATTGAGCCATTTTCTTTCGTTGAATGTCAAGAGAGAAGAGAAACCATTTTATACCAAGATTCAGCCTGGTTGACAGGGATTGAAAGGATGGACTCAATTCCTACCAAAAGGCGTACATCTTCCTCAGCTGTCCATCTGTAAACCCATTCTTAAGTCAGTTGATTAAATTAATAAGCTTGATATAACCACCTATCTTTGCTACGTGAGTGAAAACTACAATGTTTCAGTTTTTTAAGGCAAACTGTTCAGTTAGCAGAGGAATGTTTGATCAGCTTGGTAACTTTTTTATTTCTCTTCTGCAGGATTCACAAGACAGTGATGATGAGAGTAAGTGTCTGTAAAAACGTTCTGCACAGTATTTCACATCAGAGACCACAGTTCTCAAAATAAAGAAATTAACTTCATAGTTCTTCGAAAATATTTTTATTTTCATTTTTAAATATATTTTATTGATTTTTTTACAGAGAGGAAGAGAGAGGAATAGAGAGTTAGAAACATCGATGAGAGAGAATTATCAATCAGCTGCCTCTTGCACACCCCCTACTGGGGATGTGCCTGCAACCTAGGTACACGCCCTTGACCGGAATCAAACCCGGGACCTTTCAGTCCGCAGACCGACGCTCTACCACTGAGCCAAACCTGTTTCAGCCGAAAAATATTATTTCTTTATGGCCTCTAATAAATAGCCAAGGCAGAAATTTTAATGATTTGAGATTCAAATTCAAAAAGTAGGCAACTGTTTAACTCTCTTTGGCTGCTTTCCCTATAAGACTTTGACATTGATGGATTACTTCCTTATATTTTGTACTAACCATGTTAAAATCCTTTCAGAAATGCCTGATCTGGAATAAAGAATGTCGTCCCTGGATTTTGAGAAAGAAAAATAACTTCTCTGCAAGATTTCATAATTGAGAGAATTCCTGAGTTGATAGCTCTAAAGGCAGATGCTGTATTTGCCTCCTTTAACCCATTTTTCAACCTGTTTGTTTTCTTAAAGGCTTCACTAAGGGTTGATATGTACCATTGTATGGGGCAATTTTAAGTCAGCTAAGGCAATAACCTTATGCATGAACATTTCCCAGACTTCCATGATGCTGTTGACGTCCTAGACAATTGATACAACAGTTGTGATAAATAAAAACATTTCACCTAAGTCTCCTTTACTTCATAACATAGATACTGACATGATAGGAAGCTCTTGGATTATGGAAAGATAACTAAGTTTTAGATTTTAGAACATGGACTCAACCTGGCTGAAACAAATTGATACCTTAAACTGGTAACCTATTGTTCCTCTGGTATATTCTTCAGGATTGTTCCACTGAAGTTTTATTTTTCAAAAATTTTACTTCACATTGTACATAAGTGATCACTTGTCAGTGTTCCAAATGTATCTTAGCTAAACCTAGTGAATGCCCTAACTTAGATGGTTTTTGAAGCCTGTACATTTGGTATTGTTTGACCCTTAAACTTTTACATCTCTTAGCATGGAGGACAAAGAAAGGCTGTACATTGTTGCTTGAGAGTCTGTACATTTAGACCAAATTTGTATTTGCACTGTCAGTATGGCAAATGAGTGAAAAAATGTTATTAATACACTATTGGATTTTTTATTTCTTTTTTTTTTTTTTTTTTTTTTATCCAGCTTGTACCAGGGCTGCAAACCTCAATTTATGTTCATGACAGTGGGGATTTTTTTAAATGTCTACATTCTTTCTAATAAACTGTTGGAAGACTTTTTGGCTGTCCTTTTAAGTGTCTGGTTTACTGTAATTTTATGTATTACCATTTACTGGAATGGAGTTATTTTTACTTGAGGAAGAATTTGGGGATATTTCTCTGTTTGGAAAAAAGAAAGCTTGCTATAATGTCACAGGAAACCTTTTAAAAGTGGATCTGTAATAGCAAATTGTAGATGCACTTTGCAGCAGTTGGAAAAGAAAGTGTTGTGATTTGATTGAAATAAAACTAAATGTGTTGTCCTCCTCTAAATCTTTGAGCTTCTGCATTTTTGGCAGTTTTTTATTCCCTCCAGCTTCTGTGTATCTGTCATAACATAAAAATGCTTCACATTTCAGAACTTGTTTGTGTCAGATCTGTGTTGCAGGAAATAGTATTGTAAATCCTGGGGATACAAAGATTAATCTTTCAGGTAATTGCTGTGTTCAGAGCTCACAGGCTAGGTCAGGGGACAAATATTGGACAAAAACTTGGTATATTGGAAGTGCAGTAATAGCTATAGGTATGTCATAAAACAGCCTTTTTCCCTCCCCCTGTTACAGTGGTTCAAAATTCAACACCATATTCTTGAAAGGCTACACTGAGGAACTCTTTCTACTTTTTAGGAGTCTTGACATTCAACTGTGACATTATAGGAGTAACGGGTTCTGATTCTACTAAGGCAGTGGTCGGCAAACCCATTAGGCAACAGAGCCAAATTCTTTAAACTTCTAACACCACTTCTTCAAAATAGACTCGCCCAGGCCATGGTATTTTGTGGAAGAGCCACACTCAAGTTGCCAAAGAGCCGTATGTGGCTCGCAAGCCGCAGTTTGCCAACCACAGTACTAAGGGATAATTCCACAGAGCTATAAGTTTTTCTGAATTAGATATGTTTGAAATTCTATACTTAAAATTCTAACCTGGTTTTTTTTGCTTTGGAGCATGCCAACAGTATTGGTGTATAACTGATAAGTCATGCAGTTCTTAACCTCAAGGGGGCACTTTTAAAAACCCCAAAATCCTATTTTTAGTTTGATTCTTTTGAAAAACTATTTTTGAGGGTTGGGGATCAAACTCATTTTTTTTTAAAAAAAATGTTAATGATTTTTCAAAATATATATTTTATTGATTTTTTTACAGAGCTAGAAACATCGATAAGAGGAACATCGACCAGCTGCCTCCTGCACACCCCCTACTGGGGATGTGCCCACAACCAATGTACATGCCCTAGGTTGGAATTGAAACTGGGACCTCTCAGTCCACAGGCTGATGCTCTTTCCACTGAGCCAAACCGGTTTCGGGCTCAAACCATTTTTTATTGGGCTTCAGGGAAGGATTGAAAGGCTAGGATGACAATGAGATCCAACATCCTCAGTTGAGAACCACTTGGGTTCAAGATGAGGCAGAGGGCTATAGATAGGGAAGGAACCAGAGCTAAGAGGCTAATTAGTTGTGAGAAAAGAACAATAGTTGAGGGGCAGGTATACTCCTCATGGAAGTTATTAGTTGCAGGGGAAGCAGCTTTATAGTTATCTCACTCCTGACTTTCAAATCGTGTCATTTGCTTTTAAGTTACATTGTCAACCTGGATAACTTCATTGTTTATGTAAAGAACCTATCTAAAACGCTGGCCTAGAACCTATCTGGTAAAGAACCTATCTAAAACTGGATCTCCCCAGTTTTTTTATAATTGCCAAAAATTGAAAAAAAAAATGGAAAAACTTTTTGTGTCAGATATGGAAGTAAAAGTTTTATTGAGTCATTTGGCTTACTGCCAGTCACTAGGCTATACAGCATTAAAGTATAGCTTGATGGATTTCTGATTCCATCTGTCTAAAGGTTCTTTAATTTTAAAAATCTGTGTTCAAACGTTTGGTTTAAGTTTGAATGCGATAACATTTTTTGTAAATTTTGATATGCAGTGATAAAGGTGCTATATTCAACTTCCTAAGCTGTTAAGTTACCTCCAAGGAATTGAGAAAGACGATTAGTAGCTATAATAACACAAAGATTTTTATTTACGAACTTAGTTTTTGGGCTAGTTTTAATTTCTGTTTAGCAGGAATCCTTTTGACAAGAAACAAGTAATAATGAACTGACTTTATATGCCAAAATCAAAGCTGTTAACCCATGGCTCACCCAGCATTGCACCAAGCTTGAGATCATAGGCTGGGATGGAGAGAGGAGGCAGGTACCTTGCCTACTGTAACTCCTAAATTATTTTAAAGTGCCAGTCTTCGCTTTTTTCCCCCCTTCCCTTTTTTTTTTATTTTTTTTTTTATAGTATTGATTTTATACAGAGAGGAAGAGAGAGGGAGAGAGAGTTAGAAACATCGATGAGAGAGAATCATCGATCAGCTGCCTCTTGCACATCCCCTACTGGGGATGTGCCCGCAACCAAGGCACATGCCCTTGACCAGAATCGAACCCGGGACCCTTTAGTCCCCAAGCCAACGCTCTATCCACTGAGCCAAACCGGTCTTGGCTTCCCCCCCCCCCCTTTTTTTTTTTTAATTTTTATTTCAGAGAGGAAGGGGGAGAGAGAAACATCAATGGTGAGAGTCATCAATTGGCTGCCTCCTGCATGCCCCAACTGGATATTGAGCCTGCAACCTTGGGCATGTGTTCTGACCAGGAATCAAACTGACCTGGTTCATAGATCAGTGTTCAAACACCGAACCACGCCAGCTGGGCTTGCTTTGCTCTTAATACTTCTTAATGGTCTTTTCCAAAGTGAAAACCAAATCGTGTCATTTGCTTTTAAGTTACATTGTCAACCTGGATAACTTCATTGTTTATGTAAAGAACCTATCTAAAACGCTGGCCTAAATTTATTAGCCTTAAATCAATGACCTTTACTTGCATACTATATTTAGCAGCACATCCCCTTAGCTGTATTATGATCCTAAAGTCAGGAGTGAGATAACTATAAAGCTGCTTCCCCTGCAACTAATAACTTCCATGAGGAGTATACCTGCCCCTCAACTATTGTTCTTTTCTCACAACTAATTAGCCTCTTAGCTCTGGTTCCTTCCCTATCTATAGCCCTCTGCCTCATCTTGAACCCAAGTGGTTCTCAAACTGCCAAAATCTGGTAAAGTGGATTCCTAGGTCTCAACACAGGCTTTAGTAGGTGCATGTGGGGCCCGAAATTTGCAATTTAATATTTGAGGTCAGAGAAGTGTGGTCACCAAACAAGCAGCATCAGTCCCTCTTACAAATTGGTTAGAAATGTAAATTCTGGGCCCCCAAACACCTTTCAATGAGAAACTTGAAAGGATAAAGTCCAGTAAGCTATCTTAAGCCTTCTAGGTGATTCTGATTCAAAGTTTGACAATCACTTTTATTTTTAAAAAATATATATTTTATTGATTTTTCACAGAGAGGAAGGGAGAGAGAGAGAGAGCCAGAAACGTCAATGAGAGAGAAACATCGACCAGCTGCCTCTTGCACACGCCCTACTGGGGATGTGCCCGCAACCAAGGTACATGCCCTTGACCGGAATTGAACCCGGGACCTTTCAGTCCGCAGACTGAGGCTCTACCACAGCCAAACCGGCTTCGGCTTGACAATCACTTTTAGATAGCTCCATCTAGCTAGTGATTACCAAGTGTAGGTAGGTCCTGGTCTACTCATGGGGAAATAGTTCATTAACTCCTTTTCTAAATATTTGATTTTTACTTGAGTCCTAAAAAAAATGTTTTTTATTGGTTTTTGGTGTGTGAGAAAAACATCGATGTGAGAGCAAAACATTATGGCCTCCTGCATGCCACCTACAGATGATCCAGTTGGGCCAACCTTTTGGTGTTCAGGATGATGCCCAACCATCTGAGCTACACCTGCCAGGGCTTTATTGATTTGAAAGGGAAACATCGATTTGTTCTACTTACCCATGCACCTGCAGTTGACTTTTTATTATTATTATTGAGAGGGATAGAAACATCAATGAGAGGAACATCATCAATTGGCTGCTTCCTGCAGGGCCCCTACTGAGGATTTAGCTTGCAACTGAGGTACGTGCCCTAGACCAGAATCGAATCTGGGACCTTTCAGTCCACAGGCTGACACTCAATCAAGATAACCCTCCAACCAACAGAGCTATCCAGCCAGGGCCTCATTAATCAAATTCTTAACTAATGATAGGGTGAAATCCTAAGCATGATACAGAAAATCTAGAAGGTACAAATAAAAGTTAACAAATCTAACATTAAAAATTACAAAGGGCCAAAAAAAAAAAAAATTACATAGGGCCGAAACCGGTTTGACTCGGATGGAGTGTCGGCCTGCGGTCTGAAGGGTCCCGGGTTCAATTCCGGTCAGGGGCATGTACCTTGGTTGCAGGCACGTCCCCAGTAAGGGGTGTACAAGAGGCAGCTGATCAATGATTCTCTCTCATCAATGTTTCTGGCGCTCTATCCCTCTCTCTTCCTCTCTGTAAAAAATCAATAAAAAATACATATTTTTAAAATTACATAGGTTGCCCTGGTTGAGAGCATTTACCCGATGCTCCAAGGTTGTCAGTTTAATCCCTGGTTGGGACACATACAAGAATCAACCAATGAATGCATAAATAACGAACAGCAAATCAATGTTTCCCTTCCTCTAAAAATTAATTTTAAAAAACTACATAGGTCAAAGATACCATTAGATTAAAAGGTAAGTGGTATATATTAGAAGAAAAGACATTTAACAAAGCATTTGAAGATCACAATCCCTATAATAGCAAAAAAAAAAAAAAAAAAAAGGGGGAATTCACTAAAGAAATAAATGACCAATAAACATGAAAATTCCAGGAATTTGCAATTTAACTAATTTAAGTTGTGGAAATGCAAGTTGGTGTACGGGTCAACACTTCAACTGACTGAGCCACCGGCCAGGGCATCATTTCATTCATTTAACAATAGCCACATTTAAAAGTTTTTGCACGGATTCTAGAGACCTAGATTCTAGAGCAAGATGGTTTTAGGAGGCCATTTGGCAGAATCTAATTTAAACATAATTTTAAGCCAGCATTTTATTTCCAGGAATCTACATTAAGTAGCAGATGGCCAAAAATGTCAAACTCATGGCCTCCATTGGTTTGACATGCTTGGTGTGCACAATGACATGTGCAAACTCTCTTTTTTCATTCAGTATACATGTAATAGCCAAACTGACACAATCCAAATGACCGTTAATGGAGTAAATTAAGTTACGCATTCTTTTTTTTTTTTTTTAGAAAATTTTTATTGTTGAAAGTATTACAAATGTCTCCTCCCCACCCCTTGGCC